AAACAATGATGACACGTGTATATTGTGTTGAAACGTTATGTGCCTAACCTTATTAAAGAAATGTGTTATATTCCATAATATTGTCTTGTATTTTGTTATATGTGCTCCTCACTTCTATATCTTCAAATCTTAACGAATACTATTCTTATCTTTAATAGATGTAAAAAGAAGAGTTATCCAGTGGAAAGTTTCCCTACAACTAGTATTATAATAGTATTTCATAATGAAGCCTGGAGTACTTTATTACGACTAGTTCATAGTATAATAAACAGATCACCTAGACACTTACTAGAGGAAATTATATTAGTAGATGATGCTAGTGATAAAGGTAGGACCCCCAATAGCCAACCATCCCTCTCTAACAGTTAGCTAAGCTAATCAGTAATAGTATTCACAGCTCACTGTCCAAATTTGAGCCTTCAAATCCATGTGTGTCTAGAATTATCTATGTTTGAAAGTTAAAATGATGACTCGTGTTTTCTTGAGACACTGTGATATATAGAAAAGACATCTATAGAAATAGAAAGTAAAATTCCTAGTTTGAGATATTTTTAAAGGAATTATGTGATTTTGGTACATTTCTAGTATTTCTGAAGACTATTTACATATATTCAAGTCCCAAATCAACCAAGCCAAGGACCATGTATAGTGTATCGTTGTATTTTTAAAGGAATTATGCGATTTCTAGTATTTCTGAAGACTATTTACATATATTCAAGACAGAACCATGGTCTGTAAAGAGTTGCTGTAAATTGATTGAAATGATAAAAGTCTAAAAGAAAAGCTTCAACTGAATTTTGAATATCTTTTTTGATATTAAATATAAAATTATAAATAATATTGACAATGTTAACAAAAATTGAGATATCCGTGTACAAAAGGAGATTTTTAAACAATTCGAGGTATTTGAAGTTGACATATACTTCCCTGTCTATAGTTGAATAAGACGTATTGTGTCACTTCCTGGAGGGAAATAGTTTATACTTGATAGAAGTTTCTTAGCCTGAAGGTTGAATATTTAAACAGAGTAAATTTTATTGTCATTACAAAATATATAAATCATTGTATCTTTTAAAATAGTTCTCTATATATCAGAGAGTTAAAGATATATTAAAACAGAACCTGAAACATGTTGTTACTCAGAGTTTCACACTGTGTGATCTTCAGACAATTAAAACAGAACCTGAAACATGTTGTTACTCAGAGTTTCACGCTATGTGATCATCAGACAACTAAAACAGAACCTGAAACATGTTGTTACTCAGAGTTTCACGCTGTGTGATCTTCAGACAACTAAAACAGAACCTGAAACATGTTGTTAATCAGAGTTTCACGCTGTGTGATCTTCAGACAACTAAAACAGAACCTGAAACATGTTGTTACTCAGAGTTTCACACTGTGTGATCTTCAGACAACTAAAACAGAACCTGAAACATGTTGTTATTCAGAGTTTCACGCTATGTGATCTTCAGACAACTAAAACAGAACCTGAAACATGTTGTTACTCTGAGTTTCACACTGTGTGATCTTCAGACAACTAAAACAGAACCTGAAACATGTTGTTACTCAGAGTTTCACGCAATGCGATCTTCAGACAACTAAAACAGAATCTGAAACATGTTGTTATTCAGAGTTTCACGCTGTGTGATCTTCAGACAACTAAAACAGAATCTGAAACATGTTGTTACTCAGAGTTTCACGCTATGTGATCTTCAGACAACTAAAACAGAACCTGAAACATGTTGTTACTCATAGTTTCACGCTGTGTGATCCTCAGACAACTGACCTATTTTCAGCCTGTGTCTCTACTGAAGTTTGACAAGTGGTTAAGCAATCTATATATAAATCATTTCATCTTGTGGATAATAGTTACTGTTTTTAGATTTTTAACATGGGCCATAAATTATTTTGTTTATTTATACAGCAGGTATTAGTGGTTGAAGTCTGTTGATTTTATAAATTCATGAATATTTTAACAAATGAATTAGGATCTTTTACCAATTTTCATTGAAAATTCTGAAAAATTATAAAAATTGAGTATATTAGCTAAAAATCTAAATTACAATCAGTCAATTTGGAGCTTCAATCAGACATGACTGGTAATTACAGATATATCAACAATCCTGGGTGTAGTGTACTCTCCTCTCTTAGAGGATAAGTGAAAAAAATTACCACTAAAGTTCAGATCAGTCCGGCTGCCAGGATTAAATTGGTGCTGGGGCTCAAATTTTGTACTCAGAAAATTTGAAGAATTAAAGGCAGAGAGCTTGTTTCTGACAATTTTGAGGTGAAAAAACATGTCAATCAAAATCTATATCTTTTTGATTTTGTACAAAGACACTATAAATCAATCTCTCTCTGCTGAACTGAAGAAGGTTTTGCTGGGGTTTAATTCTCACTTGCTGGGGCCCAGCCTCCACGGATCTCACCCTAACGACAGGGCTGGTCAGGATGAGTGGTTTTTGTACTCCTCTGTCCCCAAGACATAATGGAACCCCACCCCTAACATAAAAAATAGGGCAATTATAAATATTTTTCTGTATATTTTATTAATAGGTGATCATTTAGGAAGAAAATTAGAGAATTATGTTAAAAAATTACCAGTTCCTATTCATATTTTACGATCTAATGAAAGAACTGGATTAATTAGAGCTCGATTAAAAGGTTTGTATATTTTACAGTCCTTCAATAATTCACTGTCAGTACGCGATTATTTACCAGAACGAAGCACATAAACATGGATTGGTACATTCGGAATTCATGGAATCAACTGGAAGTTCCATAATTCACTGTCTGCATGCGATTATTTTGTGTTCCCAATACCAGAACGAAGCACACAAAAAATTGTTCAGGATGTGTTTAAAAAATTATGAAGAAAAAAAACTTAACGGGCTGCTCGATTGGTGTGTTCTACAAGTTTGGGATTCGTGGAATTAACGAGACGTTCAATAAAACAAGTTCAAACAGAATTCAGAACTCGTTCCTGGTGTACCGAAAAAATAGTAGGTTTAGACAGAATTCAAAATGGCGGAGAAATAGATGGTGAAATCCTGACGGAACCTGTTCAGAACTCACCAGTCAACGCCACCTAGATGTAAATTATTGACACCAGCTCTCGTTAACGTAGACAATTTGTGTGATCCTGTAAAACCCATTTCACGATCAAAATTTCAAATTGTGGGGTAGAAAACCCAAAGTAGAACAATCTAACAGCCTCTCTAGGTTTCGCTATCCCACAATTGGTATTTGTTATCAAAAAATGGGTCCGAAATTCGAGCGGGACTGCTGCAGAAAACTTGTGACATGTTCCGCTTTCATACCGTTCAATTGAGGCCAGAATTTGAAAAGACGGAACTTGTTCAGAACTCTCTAATCAAGCGCTAGTAAAGTTTTTGTTGATATGTTGATATTACTGGACGTATTAGACTATATTGTTAAGTTATATTTTTAATATTTATTCTAGGTGCTGCAGCTAGTAAGGGAAAAGTTTTAACATTTTTAGATGCCCATTGTGAATGTACAGAAGGTTGGCTGGAACCATTATTAAATGAAATCTATAAAGATAGGTAAGAGATGGTAGGGGGTGACTTACAGAAGCACTGGCACAGGCATAAAAAATTGTACCTACCTTAAGGAGGATTTGAACCCGTGGCGTCTAAATGCCTGTCAAACCACATGTGAAAAAAAAGTAGGCTAATGCCGTTTTCTGGCAAAATTTCCCTCATTGCACACTGCATGGTGTTGCCTGTCTTCATTGGCCCAATTAGATGCAGAAAAGTAGGACGTAAAAGTCCATTCATTTCATTTCTGATGGGTCAATAAACTGAGACCTCGTTGAAAAAATTGAAAAATAGCAAGCAAAATTTCTCTCATTGCACACTGCATTGTCTGTCTTCATTAGCCTAACAAGGTTTCAGTTAGATTTCATTTTATTTTATGTTTCAGAACGTCTGTGGTCTGTCCTATTATAGATGTTATAAGTGATGATACATTTGAATATATTACGGGAAGTGACATGACTTGGGGTGGCTTTAACTGGAAATTAAACTTCCGTTGGTATCCTGTCCCCCAACGTGAATTAGACAGGAGGGGTGGGGATAGAAGTTTACCCACAAGGTAAGAAATTAGGATGACTCCTCTATTCTGGTGGTGGCTTAGTGAGATAGACGCTTGCTCGCTAACCTGAAGGTCCAGGGTTCAATCCTAGCATAGGTCAAGATAATACCTTCAGATTTTTCAACCCAGTTTCCCCCTGTCAGTGAGTTAGACGCTTGCTCGCTAACCTGAAGGTCCAGGGTTCAATCCTAGCATAGGTCAAGATAATACCTTCAGATTTTTAAACCCAGTTTTCCCCTGTCAGTGAGTTAGAAACTTGCTCGCTAACCTGAAGGTCCAGGGTTCAATCCTAGTATAGGTCAAGATAATACCTTCAGATTTTTAAACCCAGTTTCCCCCTGTCAGTGAGTTAGATGCTTGCTAGCTAACCTGAAGGTCCAGGGTTCAATCCTAGCATAGGTCAAGATAATACCTTCAGATTTTTAAACCCAGTTTTCCCCTGTCAGTGAGTTAGAAACTTGCTCGCTAACCTGAAGGTCCAGGGTTCAATCCTAGTATAGGTCAAGATAATACCTTCAGATTTTTAAACCCAGTTTCCCCCTGTCAGTGAGTTAGATGCTTGCTCGCTAACCTGAAGGTCCAGGGTTCAATCCTAGCATAGGTCAAGATAATACCTTCAGATTTTTCAACCCAGTTTCCCCCTGTCAGTGAGTTAGACGCTTGCTCGCTAACCTGAAGGTCCAGGGTTCAATCCTAGCATAGGTCAAGATAATACCTTCAGATTTTTCAACCCAGTTTCCCCCTGTCAGTGAGTTAGACGCTTGCTCGCTAACCTGAAGGTCCAGGGTTCAATCCTAGCATAGGTCAAGATAATACCTTCAGATTTTTCAACCCAGTTTCCCCCTGTCAGTGAGTTAGACACTTGCTCGCTAACCTGAAGGTCCAGGGTTCAATCCTAGCATAGGTCAAGATAATACCTTCAGATTTTTAAACCCAGTTTTCCCCTGTCAGTGAGTTAGACACTTGCTTGCTAACCTGAAGGTCCAGGATTCAATCCTAGCATAGGTTGAGATAATACCTTCAGATTTTTCAACCCAGTTTTCCCCTGTCAGTGAGTTAGACACTTGCTCGCTAACCTGAAGGTCCAGGGTTCAATCCTAGTATAGGTCAAGATAATACCTTCAGATTTTTAAACCCAGTTTTCCCCTGTCAGTGAGTTAGACACTTGCTCGCTAACCTGAAGGTCCAGGGTTCAATCGTAGCATAGGTCAAGATAATACCTTCAGATTTTTAAACCCAGTTTTCCCCTGTCAGTGAGTTAGACACTTGCTTGCTAACCTGAAGGTCCAGGGTTCAATCCTAGCATAGGTCAAGATAATACCTTCAGATTTTTCAACCCAGTTTCTCCCTGTCAGTGAGTTAGATGCTTGCTCGCTAACCTGAAGGTCCAGGGTTCAATCCTAGCATAGGTCAAGATAATACCTTCAGATTTTTAAACCCAGTTTTCCCCTGTCAGTGATGTAGGTAAGAGAGGCTGACATGGAAAAATTGTCTAGTTGTTCAGATGGGACAAAAAACCAAGGCCCTGTGTGCTACAGGCTGTACACATTAAAGATCCCTCGATAGTTGGAGATTGAAAAAGAGTATCCTGGTAAAATTTCCCTCATTGTACACTGCAGTCGTCATTAGTCCAATCAGGCCCGATCTAGCAGAATTTCTCTCATTGCACACTGCATGGCACACTGCCTGTCATCATTAGCCTAAGAATGAACAGAAGATGTACAAATATATTTACCATGTTTTTTATTACAGAACACCGACGATGGCTGGTGGATTATTTGCGATAGATCGTGATTATTTTTATGAAATTGGTTCGTACGATGAAGGAATGGATATTTGGGGTGGGGAGAATTTAGAGATGTCATACAGAGTAAGTTATCAACGTTTTAAAACAAAAAAACCTGAAACATGTTGTTACTCAGAGTTTCACACTGTGTGATCTTCAGACAACAAAAACAGAACCTGAAACATGTTGTTACTCAGAGTTTCACGCTATGAGATCTTCAGACAACTAAAACAGAACCCGAAACATGTTGTTACTCAGAGTTTCACGCTATGAGATCTTCAGACAACTAAAACAGAACCTGAGACATGAGTTTCTTCAGACAACTGACCTATTTTCAGCCTAATTCCATTGTTTCTATTTTTAGGTATGGATGTGTGGTGGTCAGATATTTATAGTAACGTGTTCCAGGGTGGGGCATGTATTCCGTAAGACCTCGCCCTATTCCTGGCCGGGAGGCGTGGCCCGAATCATTAACCATAATACCCAGCGTATCGTAGAAGTCTGGATGGACGAGTATAAAGATTTCTTTTACAAGATAAATCCAGGTTGGTGTGGGTTTTTCAATATTTCGCGTTTTTTTTACGTTGACATTCAAGAAAGAGACCCATAGCAGGATCATTGCAAAGTAGAGTAAACAGCTACATGTATGGTTTAAGGAACCCTTGTGAACTTAAGTTATTATCCTTGTAAAATCAATACCAAGAGGTTTGACCAAGGATCAGCTGGTAGAAAGGATCCTTGTGAACCTAAGTTGTTATCCTTGTAAAATCATTACCAAGAGGTTTGACCAAGGATCAGCTGGTAGAAAGGATCCTAGTGAACCTAAGTTGTTATCCTTGTAAAATCATTACCAAGAGGTTTGGTCAAGGACCAGCTGGTAGAAAGGATCCTAGTGAACCTAAGTTGTTATCCTTGTAAAATCAATATCAAGAGGTTTGACCAAGGACCAGCTGGTAGAAAGGATCCTTGTGAACCTAAGTTATTATCCTTGTAAAATCAATACCAAGAGGTTTGACCAAGGAACAACTGGTAGAAAGGATCCTAGTGAACCTAAGTTGTTATCCTTGTAAAATCATTAACAAGAGGTTTGGCCAAGGACCAGCAGGTAGAAAGGATCCTTGTAAGCCTAAGTTGTTATCCTTGTAAAATCAATACCAAGAGGTTTGACCAAGGAACAACTGGTAGAAAGGATCCTCGTGAACCTAAGTTGTTATCCTTGTAAAATCATTACCAAGAGGTTTGACCAAGGACCAGCAGGTAGAAAGGATCCTTGTAAACCTAAGTTGTTATCCTTGTAAAATCAATACCAAGAGGTTTGGTCAAGGATCAGCTGGTAGAAAGGATCCTTGTGAACCTAAGTTGTTATCCTTGTAAAATCAATACCAAGAGTTTTTCACCAGCTGGTCCTCGGAAAGTAGTTATCCTTGTAAAAAATAGTTGTTTAAGATATATACGTGTATTTTATTTTCTAGGTGTTAAAAATACGGCGTATGGTGACGTTTCTGCTAGAAAAAATCTTCGTAAGAAATTAGAATGTAAAAGTTTCCGATGGTATTTAGAAAATATTTATCCTGAATCACAGATGCCTTTAGATTTCTATTCTTTAGGAGAGGTTAGTTTTTATTTTATATTTCATAAACTACGGTAAACCAGAATACTTCTTTTGAAATGTCTTTTTAGATGAGTAGCTTCCCTTTAATTGGAACTCTCACTATAGCGATTACCAACGCAACTCTCACTATAGCCATCACCAACGCAACTCTCACTATAGCGATCACCAATGCAACTCTCACTATAGCCATCACCAACGCAACTCTCACTATAGCCATCACCAACGCAACTCTCACTATAGGCATCACCAACGCAACTCTCACTATAGCCATCACCAACGCAACTCTCACTATAGCCATCACCAACGCAACTCTCACTATAGCCATCACCAACGCAACTCTCACTATAGCCATCACCAACGCAACTCTCACTATAGCCATCACCAACGCAACTCTCACTATAGCCATCACCAACGCAACTCTCACTATAGCGATCACCAACGCAACTCTCACTATAGCCATCACCAACGCAACTCTCACTATAGCCATCACCAACGCAACTCTCACTATAGCGATCACCAACGCAACTCTCACTATAGCCATCACCAACGCAACTCTCACTATAGGCATCACCAACGCAACTCTCACTATAGCCATCACCAACGCAACTCTCACTATAGC